ATGTATGGTTCGTATATGAAATAAATGCCTATACGAATCGAATTCGATCATCAGATCAATTATCGTTCGCTGCCCCGGAGTCATGTCAGATTAATCTTGAATTTTTAATATAAGATTAAAATAAGACTCTTGAAATAATTTTTGGTGGAAAATCCGAGAAAAAGTCACTCAGACACCCATCCATGTACAGTATCGAGAAACCGAAAATACCGGTACAAAATTTCTTCCAGGGAAATATTTCTCGTTACTTGCGCAAAAAATCAATTGGCAATAAAATAATGTTATGTTCTGTATATGAAGAAGATGCACAAGCCCCAGATAAATAATTTTTGTTTTCACGAAGCTTTCCCTTTTTAAACGGCGTACTTCGTCCTAGCTTTACGAATTTTGTAAAAACATTTTTGATTAAAAAATGAAATATATCATATGAACAAATGGAAAGGTTGAAATAACGTTTTAAAATGCTCATTTTTTTTAAATGTAATAAAAACTAGCTTTTCTGAGTTCTTGTTTCAATTTTCCCGTCATATCATCGTTGGCTAATATATAATTTTTACAAGAGTATCAAATAATGGATACATTTTCTCTTATTTCCCTGTTTATATCAGAATATTTAGCACGTTGAGTATGTACCGGGTTACGGGAAAGATTTTCTCAAATTTTTTGACCACTCGAATTTTTCGGAAAAAAAGTTCGTGGCACTCAAGATAAAATACGGTACCCGAACCTTCAAATCTTTTTGAAAATCCTCTGTCCAAATGACAACCAAGATGGGTTTCGTTTCAAAGACACACCCTTATCACGTCGGACCAGTCATCGAAGGCTACCCCTCGACTGTCAATAAAAAACTCGATCCCATCCTCCCTGCAAGTTTATCTTTCCAGAATCTCGTCATTGACGACGGAATCTAAACATGAAGATTATAATTTTTTTTCTCCTGAGACGTTCCGGAAAAAAGAAGACCCCGATGGCGCCACGCTGGCGACGATCGTCATTGTCGAAACACAACAAGCGCCGTCGAAAAAGATGCAGATGAGGCACGACATGATAACTCATCTTCGTCTGCATCCTTCTTTGTTTATAAACATTCGAAAAGAAAAATAATTTTGCATTAACTAAGGATATGTTTGATGCACTCGGAAAATGAATGACTAAATGTTTGTATGACACGTCAAATGAAGCGATGATATACAGTACTTTAAAAAGGAACTGCGTAACGAGTGCAATAATTCATCGACAAAATTCTGAAAACCAATCATCGCAGATATTATGTTTATGATTATTTAGAAAAATATATGAAGGTGATCGATGAAAAGCTGGTATTTTTATCAAATGAAATCAGCCTTCGCACTAAACTTAAATTCAACGACGAAACGCTTACTTCGAACTTTTGGAATATATTCCTTTGTTCGAAGATTCAGAAAAAAATCAGAAGACAATAAAAGATCCTTCTCTCAAGGATAATGCTACCCAAAATTTCCCATTTTATAGACCTCGTCTTCGATCGAAAAATATAAGTGAAAGGTAATTACAGTGCGTGTTAGAATATTAATTAATGATACTATCGTCTTCAATTCACCTTGGTGACGAACATAACACATCCCTCACCTTCAGAACAGGGAAAAAGAGTCTTAAAGACCCGGGGTCACAAGGGTCGTTCGAAAAAAAAGTAGGCGTCAGGTTCTTGGCACATCATTTAGAACCAGCTGGAGTAATTGAACTCGTTTCCAGAAGCTTCCACAGCTGTTGCTACGGAAAACCGGACTCCGATCATTTCTCTGTCATTAATTAACAAAGGAAAACCAGTCATAGTCTAGAAATTGTCACCTTTTTTACGTATTTAAAAAAAGCATTTTAAAATCCTCCAATGATCCCTGAGTGCACGTCTACCATTTTAATTATAAATAAATTGATGCATACTTGTGTAGCGGACTTTTATGCGAAAATAATGTATGACTTTGGAAGTTCACCAAATACAGTTGTTTATGTCTACTTCATCAAATACATTAGTGTATCCTGCTCGGAAACTTGGATCTTATAAGGGGAGATGATCTTTGGAAAATTTGTATAATTAAATATGATCTATTTCTTTTGAAGTTCGGTTTTAAATATCCGCAAATACTGTCCGTCTCGCAATCCCATTATTTTGAGGAAAAGTAGCGAAATGATTGTACGATTAATCCTGGAAGCAATTCTAAACTGTTCTTGATAATTTCGTTAAATATTTTCCGCCATCGGGCGCAAATCATTTTTGAGTTCAAGTCTTTTTCGATTCCGGAAATGCTTATGTTGTTGGAATAAATTACGAATTTAATTATAAAAAATTGCGTCCCTGAATCAACTATCGTTTGGTCCCATATAAAAATAATTCAAATCTTTAATATTTCGAAATTTGCTATTTTTCTGGAGAAAACTGCGAATAAATATTTAGATCTATATCTGAGGAATAACGTCATTTTCTACCTGATGTTTTTCTCAAATCCTGTCAAAGATTCCAAAATGCCGCATTTTCGGAATCGTATCGAAAAACGCTCATGTCTTATCCTTTTTTCATTCTTCAATTTTGAAAACACTGAAACTGTTTTTAGCGACCTTGAGTAAACGAGAAAGCAGAAGTAGTTGTCTTCTGCTGAATCGATTGCCAATTATTCATTAAAAATGTTAAACATATTATATGATCTCCACAAGTTGAAGTCTGCTTAGATAGAGAAAAATCAAAATTGATCAGCATAGAACGCATCATAATGAATAAAACAATTTAATTCCCCTGCATTAACAAGATTTTTGGCGTAAAATCTTAAAATATTGCTTCTTTTTCCGATGTCGGACGCTGCAACTCTGAGTTCGAGTTCGAGATTAATTTTTTCATTGATTAATTTATTATTCCCCCAATAAATGCGATCACTATTACTGCTGGAACTTCTTCGATGGACTTCTATAGGTGCGTTGAGAATATATGGTGATGATTTAAGGAAACAAAAACAGAATGATTCTCGCTTCTCGTATATCAACAGGTCCCCCAAGCAGGTTCCCACGCGTTGGACGAAAAGTATATTGGCGTGTGTGGGATTCGCGGCGTGCGAACCACGCGCATCCCGCGTGGAGATCACGTTGTTGCTGAGCGGAACTGAATAATAATAATCCGCGCATCTTCGAACGGAGAGCAGAATTTTATTTATGTACCCTCAATAGAAACAAGAACAATAAATCGATCAGACACTTTTTAAAAATTGGGTTAAACACAGCTGGGGAAAAAAGAACCGGAAGTAGGAAGTAGTCGCCGAAAATCATCCCTCCACCAAAAAAAAAAAAAAATTGAAGGACATAGTAGATTTTGAATAATTTTTGTAGGAACGATAGATAATTGATTCAGGGATGGCATTCTATTTTATGACTCAATCCCGAATAAAGTACTTTCCAACCGAAGCATTTCGGGAATCGACAAAAGCCGGATCAGACTCAAAAATACCTGAGCTTGATTTCGAAAAATATTTCACGAAATTATCAAAAAGTGCTTCCAGGATTATTCGTGCAATCAATTCGCAGTTTTTCACATAAATAATCGAATTGCGGGGCTTTTCGGATTTTTAAAACCGCACTTCAAAAGAAAAGCAGATGAGATTTCGTACGAAAACTTCTCCAAAGAGATGGGGGAAAATAAACCCCGGGAAATTAATTATCTTCTTTCATAAGATTCTAGTTTCCAAGTACTGTATTTGATAGAGTAGAAAACACCGTTGTGAACTTCGAAAGTCATGCAGAATTTCCCCGTGAAATTGCAACAAAAAGTACGTATACGATATCATGTCGTTTCATTTTGTTACTACTGTATTTAAATCGTGGACGTGTATTTGAAATTCAAGTGCAGTTGGACCTCTCTAAGTAGAATTTGAAGGGACCGACAACACAGTTCGACTTGAAGAGCTTCCGAGTTATTTGGAAAGGTTCGGGAAGCAAAATGTCTGAAAATGCTTGCTTTAAATTTTAAAAGAAATAATTGATGGGGCTGAAATTCTTTCTGTAACCGTAGGTAGTGTGTCCAAAAGAATTCCCTCAAATATACGTACCCACGACAAGAAAAAGACGAACCACGTTATACAGGAAAATGCAGTATAAATTTGTCTACAAGATGCAGAATCTCGAGTCAGCATTTCATGGACCAATTAAAGCTACTAATTTTCCTTATTTCCAGAATTATTACCGTTTGAATCTTCTGTCCTTCCTTCCTTGACTTCAAAAATTTTAGTATCTGAGGTCCACAGTTATTGAAACATTTTGTGTTCAAATTAAATTGCTTTATAGGAGCTGGAAAAATTCGAGTTTGGGAGGTTCGAGTTGATGTCCAACAAATCTAAGAAATTTTGAAATTCAGTGTATGTAACAGAATCCTTGAGTAAGTACAGTACAGCGCAAAAATAAGCAATTTCTCAACTTCGAGTTAAATTATTTTTGAAAACCCGTCGCAGAGGAAATGATTCAAAAGCACACCCATGTTCAAAGAATGCGTAGGTCCGCTCTGGAAAGAGAATCTTCACGCATTATTTCGACGCCTCAATATATCAATGACAAAGGAGAGGATAAAATTTTATGAATCTGTACAATTTTTTCGACGCAAAATTTTCTAAAAAAAAAAAACTGAGGCAGTTCGATATCCAAAATAAAACTAGTAAACTTGGATTTGTAAATGTGTCACCCTCGTTTCGATGCAGTCGCCCGATCAGCCATCGACACACGAATCGAACCCACGACCAACGGACCAATCGAAACGGCCTCGAGGGTTCCCCGCATTGACGTCACTATACATACGCGAGGAAAAAACCCCGTAGGCAACACCAAATAAAGAAAAAATAAGGACTTGTACAAGTATACCCATGGAACCCCGCTGCTGCTGCTTCTGCATCTTCTCTGTTTGTTTACGTATAATAAGAAAAGAAAGAATAAGAAAAACAAAACAAAAAAAGGTCGCCCGCGATATTGTAAAGAGAGGATCGCGGGGCGGCCCAGAGGCCGTATTTAAGGCGCCGCGCGGCGCCGGTTCTCTTCACTCGTTCGTCTCAAAGACTGCCGAGAACTTTACGTTCAATAAAGCTGGAGATTCTCCAAGCTGCTTTCTAAAAGCAACCCGTCTTAGCGCGGTTCGTCCCATGTTCGATTATTGGTGAAAAGCCAGTTTACCAGTTCGGTATTTCCGGGAGCCCTTCGAGAGTCAATCAATCGTCAAAATGGTCAGAATCGACGTCATCAACATCCCTGATGCGTGAGTTAAAAAAACAAAAACAAAAATCGAACCCCTTTCCAAATTTTCTAATTTAACTTTAATAAAAAAATCAGAGCCACCGCGAAATTACCGAAATTTTAGAATATTATTTCAACCCTTTGTCCGAGAAACCAGGGCGAAAAGTTCCAGGCCATTCAAAATACTTCGAAACAAATAGTTTAGAAAATTGTAGAATAAGTAGAAGTTCATTTTCTCACACGATTTTCTCCCCACGAAAAATCATCATCGTGCAGGAAGAACCATCAGAAGAAACCCCTCATGAATTTTCACAGATTAAATTTCATGAAGGATTACACATAAAAAATCTGGATGTTCACGACATTAAGCTGGTTTTTATTTTAAAGAAGAATTTATTGATTCAGTTGATCGCGAATATACTTTTTTTTAATTAGCTCGTCTTTCATGAGTTGAAATATATTTTTCCGCAAAGAATGCCGCGCGTCGATTCGATTCTATAAATTCTAAACGCTTTCCAATAGGAGAAAATTGTTCCCAGTCTTCGGTGAGTTTATTGATTTACACGTCCTTAAAGAGAGGTTTATTTTTATTCTTAATAGCTTTTTATGTTCCTGTGAATATTCGAAGATGAGGAATTTAATTCGCTGAATACCCTCGGTTAATTCCTTGAGTTTCAAACTAATTCCATTTTCAGGACGGGTAGATGCTCCTGAAAAAAAAGAGGAAAAAGGGGGAAAAACTTGGCAAATTTTTCCGCAATCGAGACTGAATGAAACATGTTGATCCGAGGGTTATTGAGTGTGCAGGTGAAAAACTTCGCCAGACAATGCCTCCATTTCCAACGACACTCGATGGCCACAATCTTCAGGTTTCGTTCGGATTCCCGTTCCGGCCTAGTGCGGGCCAGTCGCTAGGGGTTTAGGGGTGTTTCTCCTCTATACTGGGTGTCATCGCGAAACTTCCGCAAAACGATTCCGAAGGAAACAAGGGGGGGAAATCCGGATAAATTTAGATATAAAGGGTGCGGAGAAAAAAAAATAATTTCAAACAGCCAACGTTCCCCTGATATATGTTCCATTTTCTGCCCGGATGAGCGATGATGACACAAAAAAAAGCCGGATTTTTAATCCTAATTTTCATTCTCGAAATTGTTCACATCAAAATTGAAGAATCAACTGCTTCCTATTATTGATGCACGTACTGTATTCAAAGAAATGAGTTGCACAGGAATTTTCGCATTTCCTCCCACCCCTGATTTCGGAAATTTCGCTTTCGGAAAATTCGTCATTATATCTTTCTCTCGTCGTGAATGATCGTTCTTTTATACTGTATATAGAGGCCTGAGGGGATCAGTAGCGCATGTTCGGTTCTAGAAAACAAAAGCACGAATTTTTTGTTTTCTCGGGCTCTTGAATTTCAAAACATGAAATTCATGTTTTTTTTCGTGTTTTCAGGCCTGTGGCTATCATCCCGCCATCTGGCATTAAGAAACTTGTCGGACAAGAGCTCTTCGACGACTCAAGGCTCAAGCAACTGCCCCAGAACGTGAGTGACGCACATTTAGATTAAAATGCATCAGCGTGGCGTTTTACAAAATTATTGAAATATTTGTTTTAGGTCAGGGAATATGTGCTCAAGAACATCAACCTGTGCAAGCCGGACAGTGTCTATCTCTGCGATGGATCCGAAGATGAAAATCAACGTCTGGTGGACTTGATGGTCGAGCGTGGCATGCTTGAGAAACTCCCGAAATACGAAAACTGGTCAGTATTATATT